CAGACAGACAGACAGACAGACAGACACACACACACACACACACACACACACACACACAGAGACACAAACACAGACACAGACACACACACACCACAGCGCTGGGTCAATGAGTGCACTGAGAATCAGAAATCAACCTTTTCTGAACTGCAGTGAAATAAATGTGCCTCAGAATCAATTTTCAAGGGCATTTTTGTTGTGAACACACTTGTGTTTGTAGCGGGCAGCGCTCGGGTCAGCCGTCCCAGAGAGGCATCTGCGTGATGTTGGCAGCGATTGTGAATTTCTCAGGCAAATAAAGCTTCTCCTGCCAGTGGAAAAGCTGCCAAAGGACAAATAAAGGACTGAATCCTGAATGAATGCACCTCACACACACAGACACAACATCAGACCGAGCTCAGTGCTCTCAACGCCGCTAGAGCTCTTAGTGTTATTATTATTACATGAGCCGGATGAATAACTGATTCAGAACACATGGAATCTGAGTTTACAAATCATTCACAAAGTTATCAAACATTACTTATTTTACAATTAAAAAAAAAAACAAAAAAAACTCACAAAACATCTACAGGTCACATTAACAAAAAAAAACAAACATCTATGAATAAATACATAAATCTACAGGTCACATTTAATAGTGTAACATTTTAACAATAGTGTAAAATAAATAAATAAATAACATAATATAATATATTATATAATATAATACTGTGTTGCAATAATGGGAATCTAATCATAATCATCGGTATTAACGAGATTTACAACTCAATGTTGAATGTGTGAACTGAATTGTGTGTATGGTTTATGATGAAAATGCTGCTTATTTAGTCTGTTTGTTCAGTGTCAGGCATGTTGTTGGATCCGTTCAGTTCATACTAACACTATTACAGTTCAGTGTTTGATTTGAAGGACATTTTATTTGCTTATGCATGATAAACAATGCTTTTAATCAGTTGGGTTCCTAAAGCAAAAGCGTTTGAGAAGCTATGATGTGTTTGCACTGAAATATCCCTCCATCAGCCGCTCGAGCCATCTGCTCTTAACAAAGAGAGAAAACATCAATATTTAACTTAGCAGTTCAATGCTGTTTGTCCTCGTGGTCTGTAATGGACAGCAGTGAGTGTGTAAGTGTTTGTCTGTGACTTAGATGGATGACGGCAGCATTAAAGCGGCACACACACACACAGACAGACAGACACAGACACAGACA